AAAAAAAAAAAAAAAACGTATACCCTGTATACGGCGTATACATATTGTTATTATACGCGGCGGACGGTATTATTTTATAACAAGGATGTGTATATACATTTTTTTTTTTTTTTTTTTTTTTTTTTTACACACATAAGCCTCACAATTATCCGATATTATGGCTATTTTCCTTCAATCGGTGCTTATTGTACCAGTCAAATATAACGCGTATAATAAACGTGTACCTAATGCGTCGGTCGGAAACGCGTAAAATGTATTGTCTACGAGACCGTTCAAAATATTATTGTATTGTGCGTTGAGTGTTAACAACGAACACACACGGGCACGGCGCGTATTCTATTCCGCGCTAGCGAAATACGAGTATATTCTGAATATTTCAGGTAAATGCTTATTTTTTCTCTTAAAGTATTCAATGCTGTGTGTTCCGAACGGTTTCGAAAAGTATTTTACTCCTTGAAAAAAAAATATAATCACTTTTCGTCACTCTCGTTTCAGAGTGTTGAACGTTTCACTGTGCCGTACGTATAAGACGCGCGCTTTATTTTTCCTATTATTTCGATTGAAATTATTTTTGAAATTCCCAACAGCCGTTCGCCGCCGCCGGATCTTCGTCCTTTATTTACGATTCGTTTCTCGGAACGCTCTTGTTATCATTTACATTCAAAAGTATAATAAATACCTACTTGTACCGAGTCTCCCACGAAGATATACCCGTTGAGATATCACAATGGGTATATCTTCGTGAGACACCCAGTATACCTATAATAATATATATATATATATATATATGTTTAGGTGTGTATGACCCGGAAACGTGTGCGGTCACATTAATATACAGGATTTACGAGGGGGAGAGGGAGGCGGAGGGGGTGGCGGGCTAATATCAATTCCTGTGTAATATTTCGAGTTATATAGAAATTATAGGTGCACACGTGTACGCAGCCGGTTGATGGACATTTTAAAAATAATAATTTCTTTGTCCGCGCGTCACGCTATATATTATTTTATACACACACACATATATATATATATATTTATAGAGTAATACGTTTGTATGGACATTAATGACTAATGCCATAAATATACGTTTCGTTTTTTGTCCGCGTTGAACGACGCAGAGATAAAAAAAAAAAAAAAAACCATAATATAATAATACTCGAGATAGTTTGAATTCCTCGATGTTATGTATATTGTATACAATACTCGTATACCGTATAATATAGCGTTCTACAAACCGTATTATTTATCAACGGATTCGCGTCGTTAAAAGCCCAGAGAGAAAATAACGTTTTGAAACAAATTCCTCGATATTATATACGTATACGATATTATTGTTAACCGTCGCCGGAGTGTACGGACTGAGAAATACACAAGAGCTTATTATGCGTACGGCGTTAAAAAAAAAAAAAAAAAAAAAAAATCATAATTCGGTTTTTCCACTTTTTCACGAGCGGAATAAAAGTAAATACAGAGTGGTGCAATATATTGTAACAAACTGAAACTGTACCGATAATATCGGCGCGTCGATTTTTATTGTTCGGTTTAAAAATAAATAAGTAAGAAACGCGGTCTTTTCTCTTTTTTTTTTTTTTCTACAACCGATTAACTCTTACGGCGTGCGTCATCGAGACCGTGACAAGGCTTTTAGGCGCACAAGAACGAAATTTGAAAAAAAAAAAAAAAAAATGTCAAAATCAAGAATTTATTAACTCTGATTATTTTTTTGTTTTTTTAGTCGAATCAATCGTCGAAAATATGTCCTACAACGGCGTTACGGCACCGCTATTGATTGCATTGAATTGAATGGCCGTGAATTATTACAATAAATAGCCTAACCTAAATGTGCAGGTGTTATATTCATTTATTCATAATGTAAATAAATATAAATATATATATTTGGCTGATCGAACGGATCCGATTACGAAATTGACGTGTGAGATTACACAGGCGGGTGTAGATTAATAGTACAAAAGTAATTTTCAAAAAAAAACTACGCGTCATCAATAACAATCGACGCACGGAATGAACGCGTAAACCGATATTATTAATGTCGTTTTTGAATAGCTCTACGTTCGGCATTCAAATCGAGCGATTCGATTCATATGTACATTTTGTTTCGTCGGCTAATGCCGCAACTCTGTTTAAATGAGAAGATACGGATATCACAACGCGCACATGGTTCTTTTGGGAAAATGCATGAACATTTCGATTTGCCGTTCCACACTGTCATGGGACGTCAAAACGGTTAGCATAGAGTGCGGTAAATCGCGGGACAAACGATGTTAACCGTTCGAAAGTCCGAACGAAAACGATAAGTCCGCGGTTATTATTTTCCTCCTATAAGCGATAAGCCCGTAGTGCTTATTTATACGACTTACCGCGGTCCTTTTACCCCGGACAAAGGTCACGTCGCGTATCAACGACTCGGGGTATTCGAATTGTCGGTAGAACGCGCGTTACGGAATACGCGTACGCGCATACGCGTGCCGTTTGAACCGAATAACATAAAGGGGAAACAATGATCGAAGGCCTGGCGCCATACAACGCGCCGACATCTTCGCTTTATTCAAATTGTTCAGGCGGAACGAAAAACACTGTTTCGTAAATAATTAGCGGAAAGAAAAATGTACTCGGAGACCTGCGCCGTAAAATTGTTTTTCTACTCATACAATCGGATGTAAAAAGAACGTAATTAATATTGCATTGTCGTTTAAACGACGTGTTTGTCGAAACCTCGTAATAGACGCGTTAAAAAACATATTTCATATTTTCCTTTTTATGAGCGTGTTTGACGCAAATAAAACGCAAGACGCGATCGTAAATCAGAATACGCAGTAGGCACGACCGACATTCGGTGCAACCGCCGTATCATCGTATTTAACGATTGGATCGGTCCGATAGTTGTTGCGCCAATCGACGTACGTAGTATTCCTGTTAACAATACGAGTAGAAAAACCGATGGTCGCCAAAATACGAACGTGTCCGGTTGGGTTACCGCCAGGTCTTCAATTGCATAAGATAGTAAAAAAAAAAAAAAAATCAAAAATCGATTTTTTTTTTTTTTTTTTTCCGGGGACACCAGAGATGTACCCGTATGTAATTGAATCCGTTCGATCGGTACGATTATTATTATTACGACGGACGATAATATTATCGTAATATTTTACATCGTATTACGGATTCGCGTACAGAGTGTTTTGTACGGCTTAAAAACCGCGCTCGTGTACAATGTACGTACTGCACACAGTAAATATACAGAGCGCTTTAACCGTAACCGTACGTAATGCTATTATTATAATATACCCGTGTATTAATCACATCACGCATATTATTACCGCGTATCTTATTATTAATAACGTAGCCGACGACCACAATAAAAAATAATGATAATATTATGTTTTACGACGTATTTTAATTAAATAAAAAAAAAAAAAAAATAAATAAATAAAAAAGGTATTATATTGTAGTAAGCAGCGTGCACGTAGCTCTGCGGTATAAAATATTAAATTCGTATCGATAAAAAAAAAAAAAAAAAAAAACAAAAACATTGTCTACACTTAACCTACTTTACTCGTGTAATATTATAAAAATTGAACGCGATTCGTCGACGTCAAGAGTTCGCCGTAATAACGCTGTTTACAGCGGCGAGGGGACGTTCCTATCCCCTCACCGCCTAATTTTTCTTTAATATTTATAATATTATATTAAAATTGCATAGTTTATAGTTTATAACTACGTGCACGGCAACAGTCGCGAAAAATACTCATCCCCCCATGACAAAATAATCTGACCGCCCCTGATCTGTATACGGGTGAATTTGATTCGCCAAAACAGCATTAAAACGTGAACTCGACACGCTTTATAGAAGCGCCGAAAAAAAAATTGGATCATATTGTCCGTGTATCTAAACAGTCGAACAAGTCCGAAACCCGCGTCACCCGCATCGTCCTCGCGTACGCCCGCCGTCGTTCTCGTATCAATCGAATCCCGCGACCCACCGTTTTTCGGTCACCCTCCACCATTATTTCCGCTTACGCGCGTTTTCACGACCGTCCTCGGTGCTTCCGATTCCACTCTGGCCGTCCTCTAATTCCAATCGCTCAAACAGTGACGTTCGACTGCGGTCAACACCGAAAACACGCGCCTACACGCGTTACAATATTTAAAAACGCGCGACCCGAGCGTCGCGCGTATACTTTTTACGGGCACCTTCGGACCACGACGACGGCAAAACCGCCGAATGTTGTAATTTCTTTCGTATATAAAAAAAAAAAAAAAAATCACCCCGTCCGAACGTCGCCGTCGTCGCCTCGGCGTTTTACCGGCCCGCGCGACCTCCCCGCGGACGCGCGCAATACGTTTACGATACGGTCGCCCGGCTAATTTTAAACGGACGTACAAATGCGCGCACCGACAACGCCGCCGCCGCCGGGCTACGCGCACGCACGTGCGGATAAAATAATAAAAAACGGATAGGCCGCGTTGCCTTATCGCGCGCTCCCGAAAACCGTACACACGCTATTGCCGGGCCCAAACTGCGCGAGATTTCAGGGCACGCGCTTTTTAATTCAATTTGACACAGTCAATAGATTTTTCATGGCCGAAAATAAAAACCTGCGGCACGGCGCAGCTCCGTACTAGCTCCGCGCTACTACTGTCACTATACTTACCTTCCGCGTTATTTGTGCTGTTTACACCTGACAAGTGTGTTAGGTACTAAAAAATTATCAACACAAAATAAATATAAGTAAAAGTTTAAACAATTTAAAATCAACACCGCGTGTCGGTTAGAGTGATCTCGTGTTAATAGGTTGTTATCATCTTTAACAATATGTCTACAATCAAAACTAGTACACACAATATTCAATTTGGTACACACGTTCGTAACTCAGGGAACACACTTCGTGTCAGGGGACCCATTATTTTAGGCCCTGACATGTTATGAATATCGAATCAAAATATACAAAATCAGATATACAAAATAATTAGATGGCAAACTACGGCCTCGATAACGGTTTGAAGTCGCCAACCGTTTACAGGGAGGAGGGTGGGGGGCAAAAACGGTTGAAAAATAAGACGTAATCGATACAAATACTATCGATTTTTATATTGATTCGATGTTTATTACTTATCGCATAATGGACACGGTGCAATAATAATAATGACAACCGTTAAATATCGATAATTCACTATTCACCGATATTCACAGCCTGTAAATGGCATCTGATTTCAATGATAGATACGAGTTTTTCTATCTAGGTGTTTACTATTTTATATACCGTCTATATACGTTGAACAGACCGAGGAACGACGCGAAATATTACGCGAGGCTAATAGGACGTTATGAATCCGCGGTTTTACCAAGGAGATTATAACTTTAATCGCGCCATGCCTTTTTTTTTTTTTTTGGTATTTTCGACACGAATATATTCTGCGATATTGTTTACGCGTAAATGTATTTATTTATTTTTGTTTATTCGCCGCGGGTCACCTCGGCGATACGGATGACGACGACGCGGTTTTGTCACGGGCCCGAGAAAACCGCTACGGTGCACACACACACACACACACTGTTTACACTGTTATCGGCCGGCAATTATTATGGCAAAGCATTGCCAGGCCGCGTATAGTGAGTAATTCGCGTTACGTTCGCCGGCGGCGGTTAAAAGTCGGCCGCGAAAATTAACGCCCGTGAAATTCCGTTACGCACAATACGGCGCGCGGGCGCGATGGTAGTCGCGCGTCGATCCGCACGGAGGACGGCCCCGCGGAGGAGGCGGCTCTCGACGTTGTGTTTTATGTTTTTTGTTTAGCGGTTCCGGCGGTGTGCGAAATAATATTGTCTCGCCCGTTAACGCGGCCGTCGAAAAAACGGATTATTTTCACGGAAAATACGAAAAAAAAACAAAAACAACAACAATACCCGACACGACGAAAATACAGGTACACAAATAGCACGTCGTTACCGGGGGCGTCGTTTCGCGTTTTTTTTTTTTTTTTTCTATTCTTTTCCACGGGACGCGAAACCCGTACGCCGCTGACAATTAAAATCTATACTCGAAATCCACCCGCCAGTAGTAGGGGTAGGTAGCGTATATTAGACGCGAAATCAACAATGCCCGTGTACTTAACTCCGTTTTTCAACCGGCACATATTATTCGAATAATGCAACGTACTTCAAATCGATTCCGATATCGATTAGGTACTTTATATTATTAACAATTAAAACGCGCAAAAATTACCTAATCAACAAGTTAGGTTAGTATTGTCGAAACAAACAACATCTAGCAACAACGCAACAATATTACCTGTATGATTTAAACATAATTTAACCGCAAGTACTACATACTTCATACTATGCCTATACATCTTGATGTTTAAACAGTAAAAAATACTCAACGCTGTTATGAAACGCACACATAAGTAAACATATATTATACATTATTACACAGTAAAAGTGTTTTATAGTTTCAGTAAAAGATGGCCGACAACTATACAATGTATAGGTAGGTGCCGTTATACAGGGATGGAGTGGGAAGAAGAGATTCAAATTTGTTTTTTTTAAAAAAAATGTAGGTGTATAGAAAAAAAAAAAAAACTTAATAGAAACTGAAATTAATTTTTTACTATGTTTTTAAATAATACGAATGAGTAAAATATTACATACAAATATATACCGGAAAAATTCCCATTTCCAGATCGGTTAAACCGTTTCTGCAGTCTTGTAACAGCGTCTTGACAGAGCAATCGCCCTTTTGCGACCATTTTTTTTTTTTTTTTTTTTTAGCACTTACAAACCTTAAATTAAGGCTTTTTTGCCGATTCCACTAGTTCTCTCCAAATATCGGCGTCTTGTCGTTTTCCAAATCTTTGTTTACCCTATCAAACCAACGCCGCCGGGGTCTGCCTCTTGGTCTTTTTCCGTTGGGTTTGTTGATTTAGACCTTATGTATTAGTTTGTCCTTTGTTCGTCATACATGGCGTGTCCATTATAGCCTTTTAGCTTTCAGACAATTTAGTAGTTTTGGTCTGTTGAAAATTCTTTCGCGATCTCTTAATTTTTTTCGTCTCTCTCTTAACTTCCTGATTCCGGGTTTACGACCATACCGTAGATATTAAAGACATGAAAGACGTGGAGGAAAGAATTTCTTCAATTTCGATATGAAAACGGTACTATTCGACGGCGCTTTGTGACTATTATTATTATCGGACGTCGAGTTCCGTTCGGCGAATAAAGATTGGACAACATTGATAAAGAATCAACAACTGAATACACCGGAGTAGTATTATACAAAGGTATGTTCTAGAATCTCCACCGCCACCTCATCCTCTATATTTTTTATTTTTAAATAATATTTGTTTACAACATCCACCAAGTAGACGAGCTTTATTGGCCACGCCCACTTTCTCTATATGTTCTTATCGTCTCTTATCACTATGACATCACAAACACATGTTATCAGCTATTATCACTTTGACTTTACTACTAGTACCGCCCTTAAATACGCACACGTAATATATTATCGAAGAGCGTACGTTTACAAAAACATACGGCAATATTATAAACATATGATGTGTACATTATATTTTGCACGCTTTCAAGAATGTCGGAGAGCGCGCGTATATATTTCGTGAATGCCTCAGACAAAGGGGTCGCTTCCATAGTACCGCGGTGACGGTGGCGGTGAGGGTTCTAGTACATACCTTTACGTACCACTCACCGGTTAAAAATGATTGCGGTCCACGCGCAGTCGTATCTGATGAATTTGGTCTGTGTTAAACAATTTTCAAAACTGCAGGACTATTATCCTCTTTTTTTCCTCGTGTCCCTCACCGATATCGTTTTAACGTCGCGTTCTCGAATATTTGAGGGTTGCATATTAATATCCCTTCCGCGAAAATAATGATATATATAAATATTATCTTTTACATATTGATTTTAAAATTCCTATACTCGCTGCCCAGTTACGTTCACGTTTTCAATGTCTGTATGCGATTGCGTTGCTTGTCGTTGTTCTTTTATCTTTTGTACCGTTTGTTGTGCGGAACTTTACCGATAAAAAGTACTCGAATACTTGCCCTTGAAAGCTCCTCTTGGAACGCGGCTTCAATATTGAAATTCCGTGTAACAATAAACTCGAAAAAAAAACAACTTTTATTTCATTTAATTTTCTATATTATCATTTTGTTAAGCCGTTTTCTCTTTTCGAATAGTTTTTTCATATGTATAATTAATTTCGATGGTATTTCGAACTGTTTGTTTTTGTCTAAATAAAAATGTAATTTTTTTTTTTTGTCAACTTTTAAATAGAGTTATAATATAAAACGGTAGGTTGGCGTATAATATTTTGAAAACATTATGTACAAATTATTTTTACCGCATCGCAATGCTTTTTCGAAAACAGTTTAAATGCACTCGTTTGAATTTTTCGCTTTTATTTGGGAGCGTGGGGAATAGGGGAATTTGTTTTTTAAATATTATAATATTATTTATACGTCTAGAGTATTGAAAAGTAAAACTGACGACGTGTTTGTTTGACCAACATTATGTATCATCACTCGCCCCCGACAATCGTTATACAGTCGCTCGTTTGAGTGCGTCGATCGAGACGTTGTCGTATTTT